GTAATTTATTAAATACAAATATTGAGATATTAAGATGTGGTGTACAAACATCTGTCCACAATTAAACACATATGTGTCTGTTTACATGATTGTATTTATTATGAATAAATAAATGTAAATTGTAGATTTAATAATTCCTTATATTTTTATGTATTTGTTGACCTGTGAATGTGATCCGCAGCCCTCCAGGAGTGCTACGACAGAGAGATCCAGAGACAGGTGGTCGCCCAGGGCAACCAGAGCGCTACCACGGAGATCGACGGCGGGTCAGCCGGTGCCAACGGAGTCTCTGATGTCAAGGGAAGAAGGGAGGAGCCAGCAGCAGAAGGAGCCAATGACAGACCGGAGCAGGTGATTGACAGACAGCGTTCCTTAGAGGAATATTTATAGTCGCACAATATTGATTTTAATTAGCTGATAACTGATAATTATCCATCAGGGACTACCGATGTAAATTAGTTTATAGCTGTCAAATAAATTAACTAATAAACATGTTTCTAATGGCTGATACTGATAATATCTCCAATAATTTCACATTATTGTCTTTTGTAAAGAAGTTTACAACCTGTAGTTTTTAGTGTAATAAAGGAATGTACTGATTTAATATTCATTGTTCTTATAAATTAGTAATAGCTATTAAACCAAGTGCTTGCTCATGGTGGTACTGTTGGGTCTCTGTAATTAATGTTAAAGAGTTCGGTCTAGACCTGCTCTATTTGAAAAGTGTCCTGAGATAACTTCTGTTATGAATTGGCGCTATACAAATAAAATTGAATTGAATTGAATTGAATTATTATTGCAACTGATAATTTATGAGCTGTAATTTAATTACAGGATTGATGCATAATAATCTAACATTTGATCATTTCTGTAAACGTGTGTATTCATTGTGTGTTTGCAGACGGAGGCTCAGCAGGAACACACAGGGAAACAGCTACATGGTGAGTTAGAGTTTCGTATTCATTAGACAGCGTTTCCCTTTAAATCTGTTAAACTCACGTCCTCCCATGTGACCTTTAAAGCTGCAGCAGTAGGTCACTTTTATAAAAATAACTTTATGTTATATTTCCTCCACCGGGCCCGAACGAAAACAACCAATCAGAGCCGGGAAAGACGCTTTGTGTTGGAGGCTCTAAGTTGAGTTGATTGTCTCATTCTCAGTGTCGGTACTGATCGGCCCGGTAGATTCTCCATCAGGAGCACCAGGAGGATCCACAGGAAGTTATGTGCATCATGTTCTACTGTCAGGATGTAGTGAAACCTTCAGGAAATATGATTAAAAAATATTTTCATAAAAGTTACCTACTGCAGTTTTAATAACTCTCTGGTCTGATATATATATATTTAGAATTTATTTTACTTGTTAACTCTTATATTAAAGTAAACAGTTAAATTAATTAACTGTGAAGCTTTTAATGAGAACGGGTTAAATAGTCGACTCACAGACCAAAGTTTGAATTTCACATGGAGAGAAACTGAGTTCTCATCGATAAGGTTCAGAGCATGTGAGCAATGGGACTCACACAGGGGTACCGGGGTTAGACGTATGAACGCTGGAGTGAAACTGGAGTGAAACTGGAGTGAAACTGGAGTGCGAGATAAGGAGTTGCTCCACCTTTTTAAAAACCATGTGAAGTCCTGGCGCTCTCATGCTCTGATAAGGTCTCAGTAAGCTGATGATTGTCGTCATACGCACTGTAGTGAGTCGCTGTAAAGGAGCACACTGAACTCTAACCATTGTGTCAATGATAAGATTATTTTCAGTTTCATAAAGACACATTTTCTGGTTGTTGTTGGGCCAACCTCAGCCTCTATTAATAATTTATTTGAACTATTGACAGACTTTAAGTGTTTAATGAACTCATGAAGTCAGAGCTGTTCTATATATATTACTACAGATCAGCCTTTATGCTCATCAGTGTGTAAAATCTGCATGTTATCAACAAAAAATGTGAAATTATTAGTAGTCGTATCTGGAAGAAAATCCATATCGTGCATCTCTGATGTAAATAAATCTCATCTCAAACTATAATGTATTGATGATGTGATTTATTATCTGTGACGACAGTGTGGCCCTTCATGGTGCTTGTTACCCTAAATTCTCAGATACTGTCTGTCATTCACCTGTGTGTATTTGAGAGTTAACGGTGACGTTGCAGCCCGGCTTTATGGAAGCGTAGAGCAGCTAGCTGGCTCAGGGCAGACACACACTACAAGCTTCAACTTTAAACTAATATAATATAATACATAATATAATATATAATACCAGTTTCGGCTCTGGAATCTGGGATTTTCTGGCAAAGCTGCAAAACAAATTCACATTATTTCACATATTATAAACGTGAGCGTCCCTGTGATATTACTGCAGTCTCAATGAGAGCAGGAATATGTGTTTATTATGGGATGGGAATGTGTTTTGTCCCTGTTATTGATAAACAGTGTAAATATCTTCATATTCAGGTCTCTAGGAGTAAATCTACTGAGATCCAAACCTCGTTCTGTGATCAGAGAGAAAACTGGTTTAATACTGTAGTTCTACAATCTTTCTGATTATTAACGATTATTTCTGTATTATTGATTCTGAAACATGGAAAAGTCATAAAGAGCCTAATTTCTGCAGGAAGCAAATGATTTGTTCATTTAGTGTTACCCTATGAAAGATTAATGTATAAAATATAAAATACATATATTCAGTATATCTGCTGTCCTCTCCCGCACACAGTGTCTCCACCTAGTGGTGGCCGTATCTTTAAACCCTTTGTGGTTGAAAACTAATTTCTGTTAGCGCCTTAATGGTAATTCCCATTATGTGGTAGCATCGAGCTATGTGCTACTTATTTTTATACATAATTCAGGAATTAAAAAATGTGAATAAAAGACTCTCGGTACTAATTTGAATTGATTCAATTATTATTTAAATGTTAATAGTCAGATGAATGTATCTGGTTTTACAGTGTGTATGAGAGGTTATCTTACAGTCAGATGTGATCAGTATTTACAGGTCAGATTCATTACGTTGACTTCCAGATGAAGTGAGTGTACGAACACTTTCAGTTTAACAGAGTTCAGATGAACACGCTGTCAGTGAACGCCTCAGCTGCAGCTCAGACAGAAAATCCCAGACAGAGACCTGGTCCAACTCCCTCCATGATGTAGAGTGAGGAGCTGGTGTAGTGTGTGTCTGGGCCTAACAGACTGCCCCTGCTGTGTGCGGCGCCCCCTTTAGGCCTGTCAGAGAAGAGCGTAGAGAAGATTGTAGCTAAGCAATCAGCGATAGGCTGGTCGGCTGCTCTCTGTCCAATAACTCACTGCTTTGGACCAGAGCTGGAGATGGCACTGAACACCGAGCAGGAGGAGAAGAGGCTGCTGAGGGAGCAGATCCATAACCTGGAGGTACCGACGCGCACACACACACACACACACACACACACACACAGTCTCTCACACACACACACACACACACACACACACACACACACACACACAGTCTCTCACACACACACACACACACACACACAGTCTCACATACACACACAGTCACACACACACACACACACACACACACACACACACACACATAGTCTCTCACACACACACACACAGTCACACACACAGTCTCTCACACACACACATACACTCACACACAGTCTCACACACACACACAGTCACACACACACAGTCCACACACACACACACACACACACACATTGTCACACACACTCAAAAATATCTGAATGAAAAGCCAGAGATGTGTTAAAATGTGTGAGTATTGTATCAGAAGCATCCCAGAATGCTGCTTGGTAAGACGCACTCGCACACAACGGCACATTTTCAAAATAAAATACTGCGTGTAAATACAGTGGCACCAGACCAGAAGCTAGCTGGCTCCCACCTTTCACTCTGCAGCCTTTTATTTCACCAAGCTCTCGTTAGACCACCGCTAAAATCCAGTCCCACATTCACTCCCTGCTGTTCCCTCTTAGCTTCCTCTGAGCTGCTCAACCCGCTTACATTCCGGTTCTGACACAATGCCGGCGCCGCTCTACAAAACATAGCTCTTCATAACTTTAAACCTTAATGTCATTTAAAGGGGTGAGTTAAAATTATGAATTAAATCTTCTTTAGAGACAAAGAGGCTGTAAACATGTTTAGGTTGCCGCTTGTGCTAAGCTAACAGCAGCAGTTACTTTACTGTCCATCATCCATAAAATATGATCCAGTTGTTCTACAGTGTGAGAACAGACGTACAGAGGAACATATTATATATATGTTATATATTATTGTTATTATAAGGTAGAACATTTACATACAGTTGCTTTAATAACTTTTGGAAGAGTGTAAATCTGATATTTGTTGCAGCCACATTGATTAGTGTTATTGACTGTAAAAGTGTCTCCTGTCTGCCTGCAGGCGTCCAAACAGGCTGAAATCACCAAACTGCAGGAAGACATCACCAAGGTAAATGTTCGGGCTCCTTGTTGTTGTTTATTCTTTACTTTATTCTGCCATAAACTGTGAGTTTTAAGGAATATTATAACTTTTAATTCTGTCTGTCTGTCTGTCCTCCAGCTGTCTGACAAGCTAAAGAAGAAACAGGAGAGGTGAGTTCACTGACAGAAATGTCTGTGTGTGGTGTAGTTGCAGTTGTTGTCCTCCAGGGGGCGCACTCGTTACAGTTACTCCCTCTCTGGATGTTTGTGTCACACTGTCCATCACAACACTGATTATAAAGTTTGTGTTCTTCAGTTTTCAGCGTCTGCAGGGAGAGAAAGAGGCTCTGTACAACGACAGCAGGTACATACTGCTACTGTTACTAACACTGCTGCTAATAATGCTAATAATGCTTCTACAATGACGCAGGTCAGAACTACAATTATACTCCAACTATTGCTAAAACTAGTTACTTCAGGTACTAATACAACTGCTGCTACCTCTACTCGATGTGTTGTTTGTTTGTTGCAGGACGAAGATCGATGAGATCAACCAAAGGAAAGAGGAGGAGGTGAAGGCTTTGAACACCCGCATCCAGAAACTGCAGTCAGACCTCACGGCAGCCAATCAGGTGAGACCTTAGACCTACAGTACCTCTTCTTCCCCCCGCTGCTGATGCTGAACTGTGATCCATCAGGACCAGTACAGAGAGTGACCGGGCTGCTGATGCTGAACTGTGATCCATCAGGACCAGTACAGAGAGTGACCGGGCTGCTGATTATGAACTGTGATCCATCAGGACCAGTACAGAGAGTGACTGGGCTGTGTTTGTGATTGGGTTTAGGTGACGGCGGAGCTGAGAGAGCAGCTGCAGAGCAGGGAGAAGGAACATGAACTGGCTGTGCACACTCTGAAGAACCAGGTAACACAATCTGGAAACAGGAAGTGAGAATGCTGATGAAGAGAAATGAGAGTAGCTGATGTTCACACAGAAAGAGCCTGGCAGTCTTTACTTAGGGCAAAGAAAACCTGCATAGTTAAATTCACATGTAAATAGACAGTGTTTAAAATTCCTGTACACCTTTCACATCTGTCCTCCTGCAGGTTCATTTAGTGAAGCTACAATATTGGTTCCATACTGATCAGTATTGGGAAATTTTAGTCTGTGGACTCCAAAGCGAGGCTGAAGAGGCGTTCGGGGGCAGATGGGGACATAAAACAAGGCTTTCTGGGGGGAATTTAACTAACTGCAGACTTTAGAAACTGCTTCCTGTTCTCTCATTTTTCTGTGAACGTGTTTCTCTGCCAAAGTGAACAGTTGATCCAGATTCACTGTAAAGAGTAAAGTAAAGTTTCACTCTGGCAGTCTGGTGTTTGTTCTTCCTGCTCTCTGTTTCTGACTGGCTGTTTCTTTGTCCTCTTATTCTGTTTCTATCCTTCGTTCCTTGTGTTTATTTCTGATTTTGTTGCCTTTGTTTTTCTTCCTTACTTTTTACTCTTTTCGGCTCTGTGCTGGTCTCTCTCTCTGTTCTTTTCGGTTCTGTTCCCTGTTCCCTCTGCTGCCCCCTGCCTGTGGTGCATCGGTACTGCAGGTAGCCAATCAGAGTGCAGTCAGTCAGGAGCAGGTGGACAACATCCTGCAGGAGAACGATGCTCTGAGGACTAACCTAGCTGCTCTAGAACAGGTAATGAACCGAGAAAACGTCATCTAGAAGGTCAACCACAAAGCAGTGTTCAATGGACTAACATAGCTGCCATATAACAGCTGCTGTACCTGGAGAACGTTATATAGAACCATAACACTGTGTCACCTCTGAAGACTAACATAGCTGCTCTAGAACAGGTAATCCGTGTGCTCCCCTCAGATTGATGGTCTGAAACCTAACTGACCTGGAACCATAAACCACATTGTGGTCAGCACTGGACACTACCAATGCAGGGATCGATGGAATACCTTCATGCACATTATCTAGAACCCATTTTACATCTACAGTACGAGCTACCCTTAATGCTAGGTTGTCACTTCACCGTAGACCTGATCTTTAACAGAATTATCTAGAACTCCTCACTCAGTAAGGACCTGTAACCCGTCTTACAGGACAACGATGCTCTCAGGACCAATCTATGTGCTCTTGAACAGGTAATTATCCTACCTAGAACCCTACTCTAGAGCCCTATGTTGATGGTCTGAAACTATTGTATAGAACACTTCTGATTTAATACAAAGCTAGGAACCTTGGTAATTAAACTAAAACTGTAGAACTGAGCTAGAACCCTAACTTCAGCTGCTAGTAGTAGCGACAGAACCTTTAATACTTGACTCTAACCACATCTATAGTTGGGACTCGTTATTGAATGGTTGGTATTAATATGTTGTAGAACAAACAATGAGAGAACCCTCATCTAGACCCCACATAGAGATCAGGACTCTGTGTAAATCCTTCACTAAGTTTGTGTGTAAAATAGAAACTAGTTAGCTCCAAAGAGTGATTCACAGGGTGATTCCGAGTTTGTAGTGTTCATACAGTTCATAGTTAGTGCTTACAACCAGCTGCTGCAGTCGACTCCAGCTCACCAACAGCAATCCTGAACCTCGTGTTCGTTCTCTGAGTCATTCATCTCCATCTCATCATCATCCACTGTACTGAGAACATCATCCACTGTACAGAGAACATCATCCACTGTACAGAGAACATCATCAACAGAGAACATCATACACTGTACAGAGAACATCATCTACAGAGAACATCATACACTGTACTGAGAACATCATACACTGTACAGAGAACATCATCTACAGAGAACATCATACACTGTACAGAGAACATCATCTACTGTACAGAGAACATCATACACTGTACAGAGAACATCATCCACTGTACAGAGAACATCATACACTGTACAGAGAACATCATACACTGTACAGAGAACATCATCCACTGTACAGAGAACATCATCTACAGAGAACATCATACACTGTACAGAGAACATCATCTACTGTACAGAGAACATCATCTACTGTACAGAGAACATCATACACTGTACAGAGAACATCATCTACAGAGAACATCATACACTGTACAGAGAACATCATCCACTGTACAGAGAACATCATACACTGTATAGAGAACATCATACACTGTACAGAGAACATCATACACTGTACAGAGAACATCATACACTGTACAGAGAACATCATCCACTGTACAGAGAACATGAGATTAAAGATCTGTTGTCCTCTGCTGCCTCCTGCTGCTGCTGTCATGTATTACTTCTGTCATTAGACTTTCTACTAATCTCTTTCATTGTTTTTTCTGATGTTTTCTACCTTTAATCTACAGTCCATTCCACTGTCTGACAGTATCTGTTGTGTTAGTCCATACTAACTCTCTTCAGCCATCATCAAACAAACCGGTGGTCATTTAAAAAGCTCTGATAATCAGTACAGTGTGATTGCGTGTGTAGATCCAGACGGTGAAGACGCAGGAGATGAATCTGTTGCGCGAGCAGCAGGAGGCGCTGACGGCCGAGCTGCAGCAGAGACGAGTTGAACAGGAGAGTCTGCTGGCTCAGAGAGACGACCTTGACTCCCAGCTGCAGGTACAAATACTGTAATACTGTACAGTGTATAAAGTATGAGCTTCATCTACTGCAGCACATTGAATAGGAAAACACTGTTACTTTAAGTTCTTTAAGTACATTTAGATAACAGTACTGAAATACTTCACAGTGTGGCATTAGAACTTTTACTTAGAGGTTATATACGACATTCTCTGTCACTAGGCGTCGCAGTAGAGCCCACCAGACTCTTTTCACAAAATCAGTAATTTTAGCAGATAATCATCAAACACTTTAAAGTGGACAGAAACAGAATGAAACTCACCAGAACCGTCTAATGTCCACTGACAGTAGTTGTTGTTTGTTCCACTAACAGTAGTTTTTTCTGCCACTGACAGACTCAGGTTGTTATTGTCAGTGTCTGACAGCATTATGGAAAGGATCCCTACAGAGATAGACCTTTAGTTTAACCACAAACAGCCTTAATGTCACTATCACTCTCCACCAGACTCCAGAGACACAAACACTCATTTTAGATATACTGTGATAGAAATCTGCCAGTTTCAGTGGATCAGACTGTCAGGTTTGTCAAACATCTCATATTCGTACAACAGGATCAGTATCTTACTGTCTGTCTCTCTGTCTGTCTGTCTGTCTGTTTGTCTCTCTGTCTGCAGGAGTCGAGTTTTGCCAACAGGAAGTTGTTGGAGCAGTTAACAGAAGAAGGACAAGAGAAAGAGAAACTGCTGAGAGAGCTGGACGAGGCCAAGAAGGTACACACACACACACACACACACACACACACACACAATACACACAGAATACACACATCTACATACAACATAAAGACACTGATGTTATTTGTGTGTGTGTGTGTGTGTGTGTGTGTGTGTGTGTGTGTGTGTGTGTGTCTGAGCAGACAGCAGAGAAGAGGAAGGCCATGTTGGATGATATGGCCATACAGCTGAACCAGGAGAAGTCTGACCACAAGGAGGCGCTGTCTGACCTCAAACTGCAGCACGAGAAGGAGGTGAGACAGTCAGTCAGTCAGGCAGTGAGACAGTCAGACAGTTCTTCATTCCTCTGTCCACTTTGTTTTTGTTTATGTAAATAAAGTTTGTACAAATACAAAACAATTTATCAGATTATGTGAATGAAGTCTCCCCTCCTCGTTCCCTCTCCTCCCCCCTCCCTGTCTCTCCTCCCCCCTCAGGTCCTCGGGGTGAGGGCCCGCTATGAGAAGGAGCTCCGAGGACTCCATGAAGACAAGAATCGCTCAGAGGAGGAGATCCGACAGCAGCTCAGAGATGAAAAGGTGAGGAAGAGGAGGGAGGGAGGAATGGGGGGAAGGGAGGGAGGAAGGGGAGGGAGGGAGGGAGGGAGGGAGGAAGAGGAGGGAGGGAAGGAGGGAGAAAGTCTGGAAAATGAACTTAACAGTTTAAAAATAAAAGTCTGTTTCTAATGTCATCAGATCCTGCACTGTCAATATATTGATAATCAGTTGATATTGATTACTATAAGTGTGTGTGTGTGTGTGTGTGTGTGTGTCTTCAGGCTCGGACCAAAGAGCTGGAGGGTGTCCTGCAGCGGGTGGAGGAGCTGCAGGCTCAGGTTCTGTCCATGGAGGGAACCAAAGGATGGTTCGAGAGACGACTGAAGGAGGCGGAGGTCAGTTAAAGTTTCTGTTTGTGTGTCAGTGGCTGATGGGAGTAGAGTAGCCGTTATACATCGTTCATACTTCTATTAATGATATAATAGTAATAATAATAATATAATACTGTGTATGTGAGATACTCACAGTTGTTATTGTCTCTGCAGGAGAACATAGAGAAGAAGACTCTGGAACATCAGGAGGAGATCAAACAGCTGCACAAAGAACACACACTGCAGCTGGAGGTACACACACACACACACACATACACATACACTGCAGCTGGAAGTACACACACACACACTGCAGCGAGAGGTACACACACACACACACACACACAAAAACACTGCAGCTGGAGGTACACACACACACACACACTGCAGCGAGAGGTACACACACACTGCAGCGAGAGGTACACACACACACACACTGCAGCGAGAGGTACACACACACACACACACACACACACACACACACACACACAAACACTGCAGCTGGAGGTACACACACACACACACACACACACACTGCAGCGAGAGGTACACACACACACACACACACACACACACACACAAACAATCTGTTTCAGAAATCCTCTTTGTAAAAATAAATATGTGTGTGTGTGTGTGTGTGTGTGTGTGTGTGTGTGTTGGATGCACTCCAGCTCTAATTGAATGTGTGTTTCTAATTAAAGCCTAGTTGTCTCCATGGAAACGCAGACAGGTTAAATCGTGTTAAGAGCAGATCAGAGCGGAGGAGGCTCATGTGAACAATGTGTGTGCGTGATGGAGCTCAGTGTGCTGTTGATTGATCGGCTGATTGGTGGAGATCCATCAGTCTTCCTCCGTTGTTCACTCATCCTTTCTCATTTTACAAAGCAGTCAATCAGTGGATTAATAGATCAATAATCAGCAGATTAATGGATCAATAATCAGTGGGTTAATCTACAATAGAAATAAACATTAGCTGCAGTCTGATACAAAATGGGTGAAAATGAGTTCCAGCTGTAAAATCCTGCTGTTCCAATAATGAATGAGTCAGAATAATCAATGATATCAGATATAACAGTTTTATACTTTAACTACAGTTTACTCAGTTACTCACAGACTGAATAGTAACTGAGTACTTTTACTGGCTGCGTCTCAGACCAAAGCATACACCAGACTCCAGATTCAACCTCACAGACTATCGTACCATCGTAACGTCATTCAGAGACAGAAACAGAATAAAACTCAACCTGTAAAGAAAGTTTGTCTTCACACTGAAATCTGCAAACTCCTGAAAAATAAGAAGCTTTTATTGCTTCGATGTTTCAACCTAAAAGACAAAAAGTGACGATGAGATCATACCAAACAAAATGAAACCCATTATCCCCGAACAATTAACTCTGCTCATAAAAAACACATCATATCCTAAAGGAAGCACTTAGCTTCGTTATCACTGCGGTTAGATAACGTACCAATAAAGCGCTGCTCGCTGTGCATCATGGGATATTCCAATGTGGATGTAACAAGTGCTCACAGCCAATCAGATTACCAGCTGACTGTGTGGTCCTCTGAGGGAACCGTTCCCCCTGAAGGCCTCCGGAGACCGTTATCTGCTGGGTAACCGCTGCTACAGAGAGCACAGCCAGGAAACTTAATAGCAGAAGTTAATTAATGATGGAGGAGTCTAATTAGTGGGCAGGTTGGGTGTTCGGCAGGTACGCTGATGTTTGGACTGTCTGAGGGTGCGTTCACTAACATCACTAACCTAATCTCTTCAGTTACAGCAGGTTCACAGTCGATTGTTATTAACGAGCTTTATAGTTCATTATGTTAAAAAGAGGAAGCACTTTGATTTAAAGCTCTAATTTCCACAGTAAAATGTCTATAAACAAGCTAAGCTAACGGTAGCTTTAGCCTAAATTATTTGCGACGGGAACCAGGACTCTGTTTGTCTTCACTCTTCAATCTGTGAGAAACATCTGCCTGAGAAACCAACGTTTGTCAAAGTACAGAGAAGGTTTATAGTTTGAGTTGTAAATTATAAATACTATTAGTGCACAATTTTATATCAGCAACATTTTACCTTTAATATGCACCAGTGTTTCCAACAATCACAAACTCTGGTTTGGTTGAAATGAATCCTGAATTCACTGAGTTAGATGTTCATAAAAAGAGCTGCAACGCACGCGCGCACACACACACACACAGTAACACAGTAACACCGCTTATTTTAAGATGTTCTTGTGTTTTTCTGTCAGTTTTTCTTCTTTTTCTGTGGTTTGTTTACTGTATTTCAGTGTAATGAAATTTGAACGCCTCAGAAATTAACACAGAATCTCATTCAGCTTAATGAGCTGTGTGTGTGTGTGTGTGTGTGTGTGTGTGTGTGTGTGTGTGTGTGTGTGTGTGTGTGTGTGTGTGTGTGTGTGACATTACAGGGAATTAAAAGACTCGGTTGTTTTCCTCCAGAATTACATGTTCTCCCTGCGTCAGGTGGGCGGCTGTGGCCTGTGGCTGTTTTTAATGTATTTTTTAGTCAAATTAATTAGCAGCAGAAGATTAGAGGGGAATTAAATGTAGTTTTTTTTTTGTAAATTAATCCCTCAGTCAGCAGGATTAAGAGTGAGAGGGCATCACTGGAGCTGGAGATGGGACTTGTTTTAAATGTTTTAACCTTTTTCAGCAGAGGAAGTTTCTGAGGAGTCTGTTAGACTGAGTGCAGCCGTTGGGTCAGTAATGGTTCTGAAGTGTCTGATGGTCCATTCGCTGCCCGTCAATCGCTTTAAGATTATTATTAAACTGTAATCTGTAACATTTCCACTTTAAAATGTCTATAAACAAGCTGAGCCAACATTAGCAGCAGCTGTTAGCAT